GCTAGCAGGGCTGCACCACAGGGAGACTGCACCTTCCCCTTGCCCCATTTTCCATGTTTTCTACTGTTCTGCTATGGAGTCTAATGTGGAACACTTAGACACTGACCTTGACTCTCGGACCTCTTTCTGTACCCTGTTCCAGTCTGAGCTTCCTCAGAATGTATTTGGACTCTCATGAATGTCTGTAACTCCTTGACCTCTAACAACTCTTCTTTCTCGTTCTGCTGCTGCTCACCTCTTGACTTGCCTGTCATCCTCGCTCAGTGCATGATGGGAAAGGTATTAGGTTTACTGCTAATGAGGACATTCGTCCAGAAAAGGGTATGTTCCTTTACATTGTGCAGTCATAAATCAAACACTGACTCACCCTGTGAACTACAGTTAAGTGTATGCTTGGGATGGCTGAACCAGCTATCAAACGTTCAGGAGCTCTAGATGCTGAATCTTTGACCTTGGCAATGTACTCATGTAGCTCAGGAAGAACTTCTGTTCTTGACCTATGTCTTGTCCTTCAAATTCCCCATTATTACACCTCAGGACAAATGAGGGTTTTCTTTGAGGCACAGGTTAGTGACATGTTCTCGGAATCAGGTGGAGGCCCTACTAAGAGACACCTACAAACTAACCCTATGCAGAGATTGTGACTAGAGAGTTGTTCTGTAGATTTAAGTAGGACAGAGAAGACCTCCCAAGCAGGGGCACCCAGAAATCCTGAGAAAAGCATGAGGTTGCATCTCTTGGCTAGAGCAGTAAGAGATATCGTAAGTCAGTGCACATGACTATAATCCGAGAAATCAAGAGGCTGAAATATGAGGCTCTCAAATTCAAGTCTAGCCTGCACTATATAAGGAATAAGAACAAGAGAAAAGCAGAAAGAGGGAAAAAGGGAGAGAGAATTCTCAGTGCATGTTTCAGTAACTTTCTCCCAAGATTCTGTCAGCTTATTTTGTGTTAGAGTGCACAGCCTCATTCTTTCTCTCCTGTTGTTTCCTCTCCCATTTGTTACTTGCCCATGACTACTGTGGGTGATATCTTCTTGCTTTAGGGAAGGGTGTAAGGTGGGAACATTCTAAACTCATTTTACCTGGAACTAGTTCTCTAGTAGACAATCATCTGTCCTCAGGTGCTGGTGTGGATGACCCTGTGGGAGAAGTCTCCATTCAGGTGGACTTGTTTACACATCCTGGCACTGGGGAGCATAAGGTGACAGTGAAAGGTAAGTGCTCCTGACTTGTAAGTTTGGCTTTTTCTTGCTATGACCTCACTCATCCTGTGAAAGCAGGGGCTGCTCATCCCAGTGCTCCAGCTCAGTCCTTCTCAAGGGGAACATGACCTGGGGTTCAAGAACTGGGATACTGGGGGGATCCCTCACAGATCTCCCTTGTTTGGGTAGTGGTAGCAGCCAATGACCTCAAGTGGCAGACAGCGGGTATGTTCCGGCCTTTTGTGGAAGTGACCATGGTTGGCCCACACCAAAGTGATAAGAAGAGGAAGTTCACAACCAAGTCTAAAAGCAACAACTGGACCCCCAAGTACAACGAGACATTCCACTTGTAAGTTACAGAGTTGGAAACCTATAGGCTCTGGAATGAGGGTGTGCTGGGTGGTAAGGGTGAAGAGACTGGAAATAGATCCATGGGCTAGATGTCAAACTTGAATGAATTCAGCAGAGAAAGTTCATTTCTGGCTTTTTATCTTCTACCCTGTGCTCATAGCCTCCTGGGAAATGAAGAGGGTCCGGAGGCCTATGAATTACAGATATGCGTGAAGGATTACTGCTTTGCCCGGGAGGATCGTGTGATAGGACTGGCAGTAATGCCTCTGAGGGATGTGGCAGCCAAGGGCAGCTGTGCCTGCTGGTGCCCATTGGGCCGGAAGATCCACATGGATGAGACAGGCATGACCATTCTCCGGATTCTGTCTCAGAGGAGCAATGACGAGGTGGCTCGAGAGTTCGTGAAGCTCAAATCGGAGTCTCGTTCCACAGAGGAAGGGAGTTGAGCATCTTTGGTTTATGTGCCATCCAGACAACATCAACCGCACACATCAGTCAGGGAGAGTTAGCTGTATAGCCAGCTTAGAGTCCTTGTAGTCAAAAGGCTGACTCTCCTAGTTAAGGATGTTTAAGGAGAATCTTGGGGTAATAAGACTGTGGCTTTTCAGAGAAAAATCATGAAACCCAGCCAATAGGTCTGTGGTGTTAGAAGCTGGGCTGTGGAGCTACTTCCTGGAGAGATTTTTCTATAAATGGAGAGGGACATTTCCAAGAATGTCAGCTGTTCTTGGTAGTCAACTCTCCATTCCACCTCCCACCTCTAGCCTCCTCTAAACCACACTTTGTCCAGTTAGATGCTTACATGCTCATCATAGAAGATGTTTAGAAGGCCTACAGCTTGTTTCCTGGCTGACCTATTGATGTTCCTGAGCTCCAAGGTCCATGCTGGAGATTAGCCAGAGCAGGAATGCACAGACTGGAATTCACCGTCCCTTGAAGTGGACTGGTTTGTATGGATCTAGTGAGAACAAGGCTTGGGAACTGAACAAGATACCTTCTGCAAAAGGAGCAGGCTGATTTCCTTAGCTCAGACTATCTGTCATGAGTCAGAGAAGGTTCACATGGTGCTTTGGAGCCCTGAGCAGATTATTTCTTTGGAATCCAGGCACCAGGGGTCTTACCTGCCCAGAGTACTCCCGACTCCTTACTCTGTAAGCAGGGATTGATGCTTAGAACACACACACACACACACACACACACACACACACACACACACTTCTTTTATGTATAGACTTGAGGGCTAATAAGGATCCAAGGATATTTTCTTGAGTAGTCCCTGAACAAAGCCAAAAATCTTGGAAAACTATCTAGAAAGAGCTGTCCTCACCTATGGCCACAACCTTCCTTGAAGAAAACATCTAGTCTTTGGCCTTCCTTCGTCTCCTTGGGATTAGTGGCTGTTCCTCATGGATTGGTCAAGCATAAAAAAGGAGCTTGGACTCTCATTCCTCTGTATGAACTGGATGGAGGGAGTCCTCAGCACTCGCTGTAAGGTCAAGGACAAACTTTCAGAGGGTCAGAGGAGCTTCATGGACCCTTGCTCAGAGATGTGACTTGGTCCTTGGATTTCCTGACACTGTCTTACTGTAACTGCTGAGGACTCAACATTGTCCACACTACACTGGCCAACACATGAAACAAACCAAGCATTTGTGCTGTTTTTAATTATTATATGTGCCATTGTTACAGAAAATTATAGGCTAGACTGTAATAAATTATCTTAAAGCAGCTTTTGGGGTCTGGAATTCTGTGAATATGTGGAACTGTCATATTTAATGATAGCTTTTGGATCAAAAGCTCCCTCCCTACCCCCTTATAGCCAAATGGTGGGACCTAAAGTGGTTCTGAATGAGCACTGATTCAGCAGTCTATAGACTGAATCATTTTGGTCTTGACTGAGAACTAGTCTGATAACATTCGTGTGACCTAGGACATCAGCTTCCTGCAAAAGGTCCAGAAAAGAAGGAGTCGACATGTGCCATGGGAAGTAGCCCATGCTTCTTCCTTCCTTGTCTAGGATCACTAGGGCAGACCACAGCTCTGAAACAGGTAGCTATCTGCTGGGGAGAGATGCAGAACGTAGCACAGGCCTGAGGCTGCTTTGGACAGCACAGATTAGGCTTTTCGGCTCTTTTCAAGGAAGATAAACTGTGGTAACAAAACTAATGAGGCCTTCTGGAATCAGAAAAGATGACATGAGAAATGTAGGCCTCACATACTCCTTCAGACTGCTGTCACCACCTGCAACAAGAAACTAGCCCCATTTCCATTTCTTGCAAAATAGATCCTCTCTATTCAGTTGCCAAGGAGTTTTAAAGCTTCATCCTTCTCCCCCACCCCACCACCAAAGCAGCCACCTTCTGTGATTTCTGCATCAAAACTGCCCCCAGGGGCTGGGCAGGGGAGCTCACACTTTTGAGTCCAACAACTGGGATACAGAGGCATTTGGATCTCTGTGAATTTGAGGCCAGCCATGGCTACAGTTAGATCATGTCTAAAAATGAAATGGCCCCCATGAAACTACTTTCTATTATCTGGTCCTGCTACCACTAGTTGTTAAGGGTCTTGATTGGTTTCGTTTTCTCTACCAGTTAAAGAATTTAAAGACAGGAAATATTTATTGACCATAACAGACAAGTAGCTGTAGAGAAACCACAAACACAGCAAACAGGCAGACAGATATAGCAGTTAAGAAAACACCCTAACAGTAGGTACACACAAAGAAAGACCTTCTTCAAAGCAGAAGCTCAGCTTCTTGAGGCTTGGAAACCTGTAAAGTGTGTGAATGTTTTTGCCTGAATGTATGTTTGTGCTCCACCTGGGTGCCTGGTGCCCACAGAGGTCAGAACAAAAAATCATTCATGTTTTGAGCCATTGTATGAGTGCTTGGAATCAAACCCAGGACCTCTGCAAAACCGAGTATTCTTATTGCCGAGCCATCTCTCTGGGGTCCCTCCTCTTTCCTTTTCTAGCTCTCCAGTTAAATGCTACTCAGTGCTCACCCGTGGCTTCCAAGCTGAAATTTAAGATCCTTCAAGAGGACACACCAACCATATACCCCACTCCCAATCCTGCAGCTCTCTGAATTATCTCTACATGCTTGTGCACTTGTGCCCCTCGGTCCCCTTTTACATTGTGTGACCTTCTTGAGATGTCAGACATCCCTTTCCACCTCGTTTATCCTGTTACCTCCGGGAAGTCATCGGGATTCAGCCAACTCTGGGCAGCACTCCCCATTGTTATTCTGTCTCTCCTCATCAGCCCATAGTTTCTGGCCCTCTGGCCTCAGCCGTCCCAGGGATTTACTCAATACTTCAAAGCCAGAATTTGATCTGCAGGTTGCTTAAACAGTCACCGGCCCGGCTAGAGACAGCGCGTGGAGCGTGCCCGTGGGGGTGGGGCAGATCCTGCTCTGGGCGGAAGTTGTGCCTCTGTAGCACCTGCGCAGAAAGATGCGTTAAGATGGAGGTTGCTGGAGTAGAAGGCTGTGAGGCGACGGTAAGCAGGGGGCGCCCAAGAGAAGTTGAGATCTTTACCCGGTGGTTCTTCATCTTCCTTCCTTGAGAACTATTGTAATACTTCCCGCTCTGTCAGTACTCCTCAAACATACAAGTTTACCCAGCGCTCCCAGATACTTTTGTCCAGATATTTCCAAAGAGAGTCTTTATCCCCCGCTCCCCAGAGAATTTCCCAAGGGCGCACATTTGTCCATTAGTTCCCTAAAGCAGGTTAACCCTTTCCCCTAGCTGTGTGTGCTTCATTTCCCAAGTCTGCTAAGGTTCTCCTGCATTTTCCATCATTCTCTTCCTTTTAATGTCTCCCTGGAAAGAAAAATTAAACTGTTTACCGCGAACATACTTTCTAATGCAAATAAGTAGCCAGGTATTTATTTATTTATCTAGTATTAACTATAAACTATAACTATAGACATTGTTTGGTTGCTTTGAGACAGGGTCTTGCTGGATAGCCCTAAATGGCTGGAGACTCACTGTGTAGACCAGACTTGGAACTTGTAGTGGTTCTCGTGCCTCTGCCTGCTGGCTGCTAAGATTACAAGTATAAATTACCACATCCAGCAGTAACTAAAACCTTTTCCAGCCAGCACTTAAGAGTCTGAGGCAGTTCAAGATCAGTCTGGGCTACATTAGATCCCTCTCAAAAGTTTAAAAAAAAAAAACCAACTTTTTTTTAAAAAAAGTTTTAAAATATACATTTTGCAGGATCACTACACGCCGCACTTATTTTCTCATCCTGGGCTGTACATCTAGTAGGCATTTGAATATATGACTCTTAGTTTAGAACTTGGGGGCATTTTCTTTGCTAATATTTAAGCTCCTAATGAAAACAGAAATTCATCATGTGTGTTAAAGTTAACTTCAGCCCCTTTGCTGATTGTAACAGAGGACATCCTAGGAGGTAAAACCAAGGATGAAATCCATACCAAAATAGTTTGGGTAAGAGAATTCAAGCAAAATATCTGAAAGAGCCATGGTTCATCTGAAGAGGACCCATCCATGTACAATTCCTCTTTGAGAGGGAAGGCTAAAGATAAGGTATTATTTTTCTCTCTTGTGGATATGTGGTCACAAAAGGACTATTCCTATAGTACAATCTCAAATAGTCTGAGTCCAAGCAAGGGGTATAGCATATGCAAGACACTAGAATTTTAAAAAGACCAAAAATTCTGGCCCTTTGACTCAAGAAGACACAATGGTAACCCTTTGTGTAGAAAATAAGTATCTTTAGGCTGAGTCTAACCACACAGAACAAAACACACTTTCTCTAGTGGATATATTAAGAGTTTGTGCCCCCAGAGCCTGCTGCCTGCCACCACATGTCCCGCCACCACCATTTGGGACCTACAGCATTTCTGCTACCTACTGCCACGGGGATCTTGCAGCATTTTTTAAAAAAAGAACAACACTATGTGTAGAAATGCAATGTACATGTTAAATAATACTACAATAGTAAGTATGAATTGATAGTTTTAAAAAATATTTATTTTTATTTGTGTCCTCTGGATATTTTAACTTCTTGTTTGTACACCACATGTATGGGTGCCCTTGGAGGACAGAGAGGGTATCAGATCCCCTAGGACTGAAGTTAGAGACAGATGTGTATTGAAATAGGAGCGGCGGGGCTGCATCCCCAGCACCCCAGCCGCCTGCTAGCTTATGCCCGAAATAACAACACACAAATTGTATTCTTTTAAACACTGCTTGCCCATTATATCTAGCCTCTTCTATGCTAATTCTCACATATTATTTTAGCCCATTTCTAATAATGTGTGTAAGCACCCCAAGGTGCGCTTACCGGGAAGATTCTAACCTACGTCCATCCTGAGTCGGAGCTTCATCGCGTATGCCCAGGAGAGCGAAGCAGGGCCTCTGCTCCAGAGAGCAGAGCTGTCGAGTCTGAGCTCACTTCCTCTTCCTCCCAGCATCCTATTCTGTTTACTCCTCCCACCTATGTTTTAACCTATCAGGGCCAAGGAGTTTCTTTATTGCTTAACCAATGAAATCAACAGATTGATATATGACACTCCCACATGAGATGTGAACTGCCATATGGGTGCTGGGAATCCAACACCACTGGAAGAGAAGCCAGTGGTCTTAACCACTGAGCCATCATCTCTCCAGCCCCTTGATACAGTTTTAAATAAAAGAAATCAGGAATACTTTGAGGTTAAACATGCTGATCTAGTGGGTTTTAAAGGACAGAATAAACATGTGACACCTGTTCACTGAATATTTCCCACATGATCTCCCTAGACCCAGAAGCAGAAAAGCAACATAAAATGCAAAGATGGTATTGAAGCAGAAATCAGAAGACAGATGTGGGTCTCTGACGCATGCTGGCCTTTACATAACTGTTTGTTGCAATTGTTATTTGGACTGGTAAATCCTTCCATATCTAACTCAGAGGGGTGAAATGGGCTCAGGTACATAAGAGCACTTAGAAAACTATACATTTTCTCTATGTGAATAAAGAAACATTATGCAGAATCCTCTGTGTTCTGATAAATTAGCTTCTATGGAATTTGTCTTGTTTAGTCACAGGTTCAAGAAGATTATATTTGTTGAATAATTACTATATGTCTGGTATTATCTAGACACAGACACTAGCATGAAATAAGAGACAGATAATCCTTATAAATTTAGGGGTGGTCATCAGCATATCAATTGCCTACTAAGCATGTAGTGCAGACTCAACATCACATTGAGGAGGCAGGAAAAATCTAAATTCTAGACTTAACTCTGCTGCTATGTAGCTATGACAAGAACTTTTGTGTGTCACCCCGGATATCCTCATCTGTGAAATAAGGAGGTAAAATGACCTCACATGTTCTTTACAGTTGAGCTTCCCTACCTTAATATGTTGTCTTCCTACAATGTCCCTGTTGAAAAAGCTGAACAATTAGAGACCCATAAGGACAAGTACTAAAGTCACACTAGATTCAGCACAGTACTAACAGAGGTACCATGGTTTGGTGGTAGAGTACTCAGAGAGACTTCATGGAAGACTAGGTAGATTGGGAAGGAAGGAGACTTTGGAGTAGAAAAAAAGGGAAGAGACTCCTGCATGTACTTGGAAGTTGAGTGGAAGTTCAAAGAAGTGGAACATTCATCCTTTTTGTCCTATTTTTTAAAAAGAGTTAAATTTTAATTATTTGTGTGGGTCTGTGTCCACTGAAGCCAGAAATGTCATATCCCCCTGAAGTTGGAGTTACAGACAGTTGTTATAGCCTGATATAGGTTCTGGGAATCAAACTCTGGTCTTGTAAAAGCAGTACATGCTCTTAACCAATGAGCCATCTCTCCAGCCCAGCCCCCATGTATTATTTTTCTAATGTAGCAGTCAGAGTCTTGGCAGAAAGGCAGTTGATACAATCATAAAGATTTAACTTAAGGGCCTGGTCAGTAATAAAGGGACTGGCAAGGAGTAAACACAAAAGGAATAGCCAACAGAAGCTCTCCTAAGGATCAAAGGAAAGGACTGTTTATCCTGGAGTCAAGCTAGAGCTACAGCTCTGGGAGAAGAGGCTTCCTGACAGCTATGATCCTAAGTGGTGAGAAACCACTAAAGGGACTTGAGCAAGGTGCAGAGGAATAAATGCCCTAAGGTTTCCCTTGTCATTCAATTGCCAGCTAGTACTTTTCATTGCTAAGACCTAAATGGCAGTCTAGAGCCAAGAGAGTATGGGGTATATACTTCATAAACGTCAGCTTCCCAGACCAGGACAAATGAGTTGGAGGATGGGAAAAGAAATAACAAACATTTTCTCCAGGAGCAAACCATCATTATAGATGCTTTCCAAATAGTATAGTGTCCCCTATGTGAAAATACTGCAAGGTTCAGTGTCCTTATCTGTGTATGAAGATACTGATACCTTTGTTGAAGAGTTGTTGTGAAGATTCTGTGATGTATATGAAAATGCCCAGCATGGAGCCTTGATCCTCTGGATCCCCACTTTATATTGGGTCCTTTCTTACATGCCTGGATAGCTCCTTCTCTAGCCAAGGTCTCAAAGTGTAGATGAACTGACTGAATGAAGGGAAAGATAAAGTATACCCCTGGGGCCTATTGCACATTATAGTGACTTTGGCTTTTAATAGGAGAAAGCTAAAAAGTCATTGAAAAGTTCTACAGGAGCCTTAACTTCTGACATGAGGGGTTTTTAATCATTTACTAAGGAATCACCTATTTTTTCATTCAGTGAGCCTTGATCACTTTTAAATTATTTAGGTTTTGGGTTCCTTTTATCTCATATGAGGAAGTATTCATGTACTTAATTAATGTATTAATGACCCTCCGCTTTGAATACACATTGGAATCTCTTGATAGTAGATAATATTGATTCCTTGAATCCACTACTTTGAATTGATTAGTCTTGGTTGCATGCTGTGCTTTGAGTTTTTGTCTGTTTGTTCATTTTTTAATCATGAACTGGGTGCTGCATATGCCTGTAATTCTAGCTATTCAGCAGGCTGAGGCAGAAGAGTTCAAGGTCTTGGTGCAGCATAATGAAACCAAGTCTCAAAAACAAAGTGAGAGGGGCTGTAGAAATAGCTCAGCAGAAGAGTGTACTTGCTGCTCTTCCAGAAGACGCAATTTCAGTTCCCAGCACCCACAGTCTAATGCAACTCCAGCTTCAGGGAGTCTGATACCCTGTTCTGGCCTCCACGGCTGACTGCATTCAGGTACATTTACTCCCACACAAACACGGGCACATAATTTTAAAATAAAAAGATAACCTCCATAAAGCACTGAGTAGAGTGTCCATCACACTACATTGTTAATGAATGGTAGGTATTATAGCATCAGGATGCCAGCTCACTGACAAGCAGTTTTTGTTTCATTCTTAGGTGGTGTTTCTCTGAGATGAAATACATAAAAGTTTTTATTTCAGGTAAGTACTCAGCTCATATTAGTTGAGGTAGAGTTCACAAGCAGTACCAGTATCTGCCTATTCCTGCACTGTACCACATTCCACTCACACAGCTTGTGCTTTCGGGACATTTGTTTTTTTGTTTTTCTTTGTTTGTTTGTTTGGTTTGGTTTGCTTTTTCAGGACAAGGTTTCTTTGTAGCTTTGGAGCCTGTCCTGGAACTCATGCTGTAGACCAGGCTGATCTAAAGAGACCCTCCTGTCTCCACCTCCCAAGTGTGTGCCACCACCTCATTTGTAAAGCAATGAACAGGTGTCCTCCTAGAAGCACCTTACAAATTGAGATCTGCATTGGCTAAAGAAGTATGTTCTCAGTGATAGGAGGCCCGCCTAGCATGCACAGTGCCCTAGGTCCAACCACCAGGTCACCGAAATGGGTTGGGGGGAGAATTACATAGCTTGCTGTGTGTGGTGACATTTCTAAGCCCAGAATTTGGGAGCTGGAGGAAGGATGATAAAGAACCCAAGGTCAACATGAGTAGGTAGTGAGTTCTAGACCAGCTTGAGTTACCAGAGACATTGTCGCAAAAACAAAGTACAAAAATAGAACTGCAAGAAACTTGACAAGGATTCAAACTTGATTTGCCTCTGACCTTGCCTGGAACTACTTTTTCTGTAGAGTCAAGGGGGAAAATTTATAAAATTGAACTTGAGGTTTTTATTGAGTTTAGTTATAACCCCTGATGATATTAGTTTATACATGAGAGTAGTGTTTAGGTGTTCTTTTTAGAGGCCAATAATAGTAATGTTTAACTAAGGAGTTGAAACAGGTGGATAAGTAATTTAATCCTGAAGATTTGTAATCAGAAAGCCATACTATGATAACCTTGGTAACAAAGCTTAAGGTGAGTATGTTTCTAATCTTTGAGCCTTCATAGTAGACAACAGTAACCCAGCAGATTATTGTTGAAGGTATCAGTTTAATGGAGATTATTGGACCATCTCTCGCTTAGACAGTGTGTCTCTGGATAAGCCCAGCCATTTGGCCCTTTGTTGGACTTGAATTGAAAGAAAAGGGGAGAATATAAGAGACGTTATTGGAAATCTCTGAGAGACATTCTGGAGAAGATAAATTCCTGAAAGAGTTTGAGGATGGACAACATGGAGTATAGTGCATTTGAGAATTAGGGCAAACAGGAAAGCTAGGATGTTCAAGATTAGTGTTAGGGAAAAGTAAAGTGCTCATGTTTTGTTGTTTTGTTGGCTGCCCATGTAGTAAGTAGATGGATAGACCAAATATTAGGTTTCAGGAGCATAATTCGCAAACCAGTTGTCACTCTATCTCCTGATGGAAGATAACCATAGAGGAGACAGACTGAACACCATTTCAAGTACCACATTCAAGGGATAGGTGTGTTGTTTGTTTCAATGCTGGCCAGCTGGGGAGAACTCAAGATCAGTTTAGACAAACCCTGATATTGGTCCTTTCTAGCCTTCTGTGTTTTCTAAGAGTCCAGAGAAAGTGTATGTATAAAGGAATTTATTTTTCTTTTTAAAATTTTTATTATTAAAAAATTACTTATATTTTTAAATTTCATTAATACATACCCAATCCAAGTTACCACTCCCTCCCCTCCTCCCATTCCCTACACCATACTCAGATCCACTCCTCAGAGAGGGTAAGGCACATTGCTTTGGGGAAGGTCCAAGGCCCTCCCTAATATATCTAGGCTGAGCACGGTGTCCATCCAAAGAGAATAGGTTCCCAAAAAGCCAGTAGAAGCCGTAGGGATAAATCCTGGCGCCATTGCCAGTAGCCCCACAGTCTGCCCCAGCCATGCAACTGTCAACCACATTCAGAGGGATGAGTTTGGACCTATGCTGGTTCCTTCCCAGTCCGGCTGGAGTTGGTGAGTTCCCATTAGTTCAGGTAAACTGTTTCAGTGGGTGTACCCATCATGGTCTTGACCACTTTTCTCATATTCTCATTCCTCCCACTCTTCAACTGGACTTTGGGAGCTCAGTTCAGTGCTCCAATGTGGGTCTCTGCCTTTGTTTCCATCAGTTGCTGAATGAAGGGTCTATGGTGATATTTAAGATATTAATCAGTCTGACTAAGGGCAAGGCTATTTCAGGCACCCTCCACACACCTGTGAACACCTGATTTTTGACAAAGAAGCTAAAATTATACAATGGAAAAAAGAAAGCATCTTCAACAATGGTGCTGGCATAACTGGATGTCAACATGTAGAAGAATGCAAATAGATCCATATCTATCCTCTTGCACAAAACTCCAAGTCCAAATGGATTAAAGACCTCAATATAAATCTGACTACACTAAACCTGATAGAAGAGAAAGTGGGAAGTAGCCTTCAGTGCATGGGCACAAGAGACCACTTCCTAAATATAACCCCAGCAGCACAGACACTGAAAGCAACAATAAATAAATGGGACCTCCTGAAACTGAGAAGCTTCTGTAAAGCAAAGGACACAGTCAATAAGACAAAAAGGCAGCCTACTGAGTGGGAAAAGATCTTCACCAATCCCACATTAGAAAGAGGACTGATCTCCAAAATATATAAAGAACTCAAGAAATTAGACATCAAAATTCCAAATAACCCAATAAAAAATGAAGTACAGAATTAAACAGAGAATTCTCAACAGAAGAATCTCAAATGGCCAAAAGACAGTTAAGGAATAAGGAAATACTCAACATCCTTAGCTATCAGGGAAATGCAAATCGAAACAACTCTGAGATACCATCTTACACCTGTCAGAATGGCTAAGATCAAAAATGCATAAATGAATTTATAAACAGAGCTGACTGAAATGGAAAAGTTGTCTGGAGAGATTTATTTTTACTGAAAGTGTTTAAACCAGCTGGACACAGAGGAAAAACTATTCAGGGTGGGCGGGTGAAGTAGATAGCTCCCAGTGCCCTTCTAATTTTGAAATTTTGCAATTTCCAGAATCAGAGAGACCATAAAAGGTTATCAGAGATCTAGAATGACTCTTAGACCAGGCATCCTTGATGGAGATAGAAGGCAATTCTGTGTTTTGCTATGTTTGAGACAGGGATTCACTGGATAGACAGACCTAACTGACCTGAAACACTCTGCATAGACCAAGCTGACCTCAACCCCACAGAAATCTCCTGCCTCTATCTCCTGAGTACAAGGATTATAGGGGTATGTTGCCATGCCCATTTGGAAGGCAATTTTGAATTTTTTAAAAAACAAAAAACAAAAGACGTACTTTAATTTTAGTGTGCTCAGTTTGATTTCCTCGTGGACATTTGACTTAGACCCGTTAGAAATGTGTTGCTTTTTACTGTGAAGGACCATGTGAGGCCCAGGGCCCCCAGTGGAGGGGCCTAGATTAAGTTGGTCACGGGAGCGCTTCACTCTGTGGATACCACATTGTCTCTAATGAAGTAGGGCAGCTAAGGATAATGTGCCTTTGGATTACTTTTAGCTGAGAGACATACAGGTCCCAGAGATTATTTTCAGCATCAGACAGATAATGTGCTTGTGCTCTTTGTAGCAATTGTCTTGAGGAATTTATCAGCAGGAGACATCATGTTATGAGCGTGTTTCAGGGAGAGTTTCCTTGGACTGGTATTTCAAGTAAACCTACCTAGTGTTTCTGTTCACTCTTCTTTTAAAAAATGATTTTTATTATTTGTATGTCTATGTGCATGAGTATAAAGATCAAAGGACAACTTTTAGAAATTAGCGCTCCTTCTACTGTGGGTTGTAGAGACCAGGCTCACGTAGCAAGGGCTTTGTACTCACAGAACCATCCTGCCCTACCCTGTGTTCACTCCTTAGTCCATTTCCTTAAAAAACAAAATAAAGCAAAATCAAAAACTTCTCCCTTATTTATCCCTATTTAGAAGACAGGAATGAATATAGTTCCAGTTACTAGACTGGTAAGGAAGAAGATGAAATAAAAAAATTATAGCACACAGAGCAATGGCTTGTTTTGGAGAATAAAATCAAAATATTGTGAGAGTTGGAAGGGTAAAGTATTTTTGTATGTTGGAAGTTCCCAGAATTTGCACTGGCCTTTGTAAGATAGCTTTGAAGGAATCACCTTTTTTTTTTTTTTTGTCCTGAGTCAGGATTTCTCTCGAACTCACAGAAATCCACCTGCCTCTGCCTGTGGAGGATTATAGGATGGAGAAGACAGCACTTTTAGAAGTGACAATATGAAGAGTGCACAGATGAGGAGAACGTGGGTCGCATAGACCAGTTTGCATAAAGATGAGTAGTGGAAGAGAAAAGGACGTGTCCAAGCATCTTAGATGGTGGTTGATGACTTCGCTAGGTAGCACATGGAAACCACTAAGGTTTTTGGCTGGTATCTAAGACACCACAGTAGCTGTCGGTGCTCAGCTCTCCCTCTCTGTCTAAAGAGCACATTCCTGCTTCCATGCTTGTGCTCGTGAACTTTTGGCTGCTTGTTCTACTACAGTGTCCCATGTGGATGATTTCCATCGGGAGCACAGGAACATAGACGGTTACTGACTTTGACACCAGAGGAAAGTGGAGTCTTCCCTAATGTTTGGTGTTGAACATGGTCACCTTCGACTCCAGATAAGATTCTACACTAAGGCCAGGCGGTGGTGGCGCACGCCTTTAATCTCAGCACTCGGGAGGCAGAGGCAGGCGGATCTCTGGGAGTTTGAGGCCAGCCTGGTCTAAACCACCGAATGATGCTGAGAAGGGATATCAAATCTTCACTGCCATGACCACCTCCTTCTGTAGAAGGAGCCAACTAACCCCTGGATAGTTGGCTCAGTGGGTAAAGGCACTTGTTATCAAACCTTAAAACCTGAGTTTGATACCTGGATCCCTTGTGATGGAAGAAAGGAACCATTTCCTGCAAATTGTTCTATAACTCCCATATGTTGCTATGGCACATTTTCATATATGTGTATATTCAATAAATTCTAAACAATTTTTTTCTAGAATGCTCCTGGATTGGCCTTTCACAGAGGCAATGGAACTCCCTGACCCC